ACTGAAGTACCAGTTAACGAGTCACATGACTGGGATATGTTAGAGGCAGATTTTTCAGCCCCAGTCAAGTATTCAGATGTCTCTAGCCCTAGCCAATGTCATGACTGCAATCTTGTAAAAGACCATGAGTTAGACCCACTGAGCCAAACTGTGCCTGCATTTCTCATCAACAGAACCTGTGTTTGAGGTTATAAGCCACTAAATCCTGGGTAATCTGTTATACAACAGAGAAGTAATAAATGTTAAGCCCAAAGTATTACTCTCTTTTAAATGTGTTAAGTTTGATATTTGCATTTGATCATAAGCTCCCAAATTTGAACTACATAAAACTACCTTTTTTATTTTAATGTATAGACCTAAAGATTTAAGTAATTAACCTATTTGGTATACTCTAAAGTAATGTCAATTTCAAAAACAGCCAAAAATAGTTGGCCCACACTTCCATATATAAATTTTGTATAGTCATTATTGACAAGTCTATGTCCTTTTTTTTTTTCTTAAATGTGTGCATATGAAAGTCTCAAAAGAGCAAGTAGGTAATAACTAAAAATTTTAAAAATGACAAAAAATAGAGTATATACTCCTTAAATACCTGTGGGAATAGGTGGGGGCTGGGGAGGAAGTAAGGTGTTAGTCTTGCTCTGGACAGTGCAAGGTAAAGGAGGAGAAGGAGGAGACGTTGCACTGTCTTTCATACCATACAGCTTGGACTCTTTGGAGAGTGTTCTTGGCAAGGAAGATCCTCTGGAGGCATTAGGTGATTCAGTCTTTAGTGTCTTAGAATTGTAATGCAACTGTATTGAAACAAAATTATAAAGATGAAGAAAATCAAGAAGTATAGAAAAATGTGGTAGAAAGAAATTGGAAGTCAGAAGACTTTTAACTTTTACAAGTTAACTTTGTGATCCTGGCAGTTTTCTTTGCTTTTATTCATTTCAAATAATCTTTAATGTCATTTCCAACTGAATAGTCTACGATTCTGTAATTCCAGAATCTAAAAAACGGTTGTTTAATGAAGTTGCACTAGGCAAGGTTTAGGAAGTTTGTTATGAATATTAATTCATTAAAAAACCAAACTTCTTTCCATCAAACTTCCATGGAAAATGCTATATAAATGAAATGGGAACCTGCAGTTTTGATGTTCTTATGTCCAGAAGAATATGGCTATATTACACAAGAAGTCACTGAGTCTCATTTTAACATAATGAGAAAAAGATGAATGTATATGATAGAAAATAAACATTGCTACCAATAATTTAACCTTACCCTAGGCAATTAGGTTTTTACCTTTACATCAACTCCAGGAATGTAAAATACTGTTGTTTCTAAGTCACTAGGCTTTGTCTGCAGAGATGATGGCACTTTCTTTCCGGTCATTAAATGGGTGGTAGAAGCATAATTAGTTTGAAACTTCTTCTTTTTTGAAGGTGAATCTTGATCTAAGCTCCTGGAACTTCGATCATAACTCCTGTGAACAGAAAAATGTTCTCATCTTTTTTAAAAAGGACATTTTTGTTTGTTTGTTTGAAAGCAAACTTTTATCATTACACTAAATGGAAAGTAATCCTTCATTTAGGAAGTTGAAAAAAGTAAAGTTCATCAGTATCTCTAGCTAGACTGGTTAATGCCTTGCATGAGTGATGTAAATGTTGTATGTTCCTTAACTATACAGGGCAGTTACCTTTATTCTTTCCTAGGGCCATGACTCTCACTTGAACATATTAGGTTGAACCAAATGAAACTGCCCTTTATATAGGTAAAAATACAGCTAAGTATTAGCAATTTATTATGGATTATTATGGTTCAAAAATAACCTAATAGTAATTCTTTTTATCATCACGACATTTATAAGAGATTTTAACTGTTTATAGTACCTTTTTCTTTTATTTTATAAAAGCCTCAGACAATTGAAAAAGTATTTTATTATGGAAATTTTTTAACATATAAAAAAGTAGTAAGAATAGTATATCATTAATGATCCTCCATGTTCCCATTACCGGGTTTCAGTTAGCATCAGCATTCTTTTTAGCTCTACATCTCTACTCATCCACTCAATTGTAACTATTTTTTTACAGTTCATGTAGATTAGAAAAGAAAAACAAAACAAAATTTAAAGAAAAAATATAACGTTAATCCTGTTTATATCATCATTTAGTGATATAAACAAATAGTAAAGCTGCAGTTATATCCTGGACACAATTTCAGTCTATTGAAGTCTGTGTAACTATCTCCCAGTCTTTCTTATTTCTTTATGAACTCACCAAAACTCTCAATAACCAAGATATTTCTGAGCATTTTGTTGTTCTTTAAAACTGAAATATGCACAGTGCAGGGAGAGACACTGAGAAATTCATGTGTGTTAAAAGAATTCCAAAGATATAACTATTTTAATTAAAAAATATGCCAGACTGTCAATCAGACATCCATTTCTAGTTGCCAGAAAATACTATACAGTTGTTTATAAGAAACTGTGTAAGAAATAACCACTTGACCATTATAACTATAATTACATTTACACTTCAAATCTGCATTTTGGAATGGAGAAGTTTGTTATAATTCAGTGAAATATGAATAGTATTTCTAATAAAGTTACATGTATCCTTTTTCAATCAATTTCTTACCTTCTCAAACTTATATCATCATGTTCTTGTAGAAGGGTGGTTGGGTGGAGTACACATTTTCCACTATCAATTTCAACCCGTATATCGAGTTCAAAGTCAATATTTCTCTCTGTAGCTGTGCCACTAAGACTTCTATTGACTGGTGTTGTTGGCCAGCGTTCTGTAAATAGCTGATGAACAGCAGCAAAGCCTGTTGCTTTTTTACGAGATGTATGTCTATAGAAAAAACAATTGATCATTACGTTATGGTAAAATGACAGTTCTTTGTAACAAACTACTTTCCAACCTATTAAGTGAGCAATAGTCTGTAAATAAATTTTACTATTTTATAAATTCACACGAGGGAGTTTAATGGAGCCACATTCTATTCAGCTACTATGTACTGAATAACTATTATATGCCAGGGTATGTGCTAGGTGATGAGGACACAGACATAGTCACCACTTTTAAGGAGTCTGATTATCAGTATATAAACTACCCCGTGTATGTTGGAAAATGAAATCTTTTTCAACATACACGGTATAGTTTATATATTGAAAAATTGAATATACAAAAGAATTAAAATTGGGATCTCAAAGAGATATTAACACTCCCATGTTTACTGCAGCATTTTCACAATAGCCAAGATGTAGAAACAACCTAAAATATCCATTGATAGATAAATGAATTAACAAATGTGGTGCATACATACAATGGAATATTATCAGCCTTTAAAAAATGAAGGAAATGCTGTAGTATGTAACATTATATATGAACTTGAGGACATTATGCTACATGAAATAAGCCAGACACAGAAGGACAAATACTGCATGATTCCACTTACATGAATTATCTAAAATTACCCAACTCATAGAAGTAAAGAATAGAATGGTGGTTGCCAGGGGTTGGGGGTCGGGGAGAGGTTTGGAGTTGCTAAGCAATCATATATAAAGTTTCAGTTATGCAAGATTAGTAAGTTCTGGACATTGTGCCTACAGCTAAACGATATTGTACTGCACACATAAAAAGGTTAAGAGAGTAGATCTCATGCTAAGTGATCTTACCAAAATAAAATAAAATATGTAAAGAACTTATCAAACTGTACATCTGGAAAATATGGTTACACTAATGTAAATTATATCTCAATAAAAAATAAAGATATTTTTAAAAACGGCAATGTAAAACAAAAAAAGTAAAGAGAAATAGATCATCTGTCCAGGAAGGCAAATGTGCAACTTATAGGATTACTATTAAGACAAAACAAAAGAAAGGGCAGAGTTAATCCACACAACTATAAAGTAATATTTCCTATAATCAAATTTATATTATGTTTTAAGAAATACCACAATACCTAGAAAATTGTTAGAAAAGACTCAAACCTGGACTACTATGAAATTAAATACAATGAAAAGATTCTAAAAATTTCTAGGTAGAAAACAGATATAAAATACCAAAAAAATCCCAAGTCACATTCACAGAACTGAAAAAGATAACCAGCTGAATGCTGGAAGATAATAGAGCAGTTTATCTTACCTAGAAGAAATAAATATTAAACTAGAATTCTGTTCCCAACCCAATAATAAACACAAGAACAGTAAAGCTACTTTAGAACACACAAAAAAATGAAGTAGATCTGCAATAACAACTTTTTATAGAAAGTTATTTGAGAATGTACTCCAGAAAAATGAGGGAATAAAACCAAATATGTTTATGGGATTCAGGAGTCAGTGGCTTCAGTCTAGGAAAGGGAAGAAAGAATCCCTAAAGCTCAATTTATTACCATTATTAGAAACTCTTACTATTATTGTCACAGCCTCAGTTGAGGGTGGTTTAAATAGCAGTTCCAAAGATCCTTGCAGCTCCTCTTGAGGGCACATTCAGAGCAAAGTTTCACATTAGTCATTTATTTCATTAACACCATTCATCTTATTTCTTTCTCCTAAGAATTTGCTGAAGTCTTTCATCCATTGTTAAACACTTCCCTTTATTACTTTTCTAACTAGCCTACATTATTACAGATCTCCTTGCTGCAATCTTTAATGCCATGGGAATACAGTCCTCTCCTTTAATTTACTCATAACCACATCTTTCTATTTTATTTTTGATAATTAAACTTAGGTGGCTTGAAAAAACCCATTTAAATTTAAAAACTATATGGAGCTATATCACATTAATAAACCATGTGATAAATTTTATTAAATTTTATTTTAATGAGACTCAGTCTTACTCAAGTGAGAGGCACATTAAAAATGATTTTTGTAAAAGTTGAGTTATATATAACATTGTATGCTCATTTCTATGATACTACCTAACGATCTTAAAATGAGGTTACTCACGAGGGTTTCCTGTAAACATAAAACCTTTCCCTCTCATGGTCTTCGTCTTTTTCATCTTTGTCAGAATCTTCACTGGTAGAAGACAAACTGTCATCCCGTCGGCCCTCTTCACTTTGGAAAGGAATGCTTGGTGAGAAGCCTCCTGGAGTTTTGGGAGAACTGAACACGGAACATGATCCTTCACTATTTGATGAGTAATGGGATGGACCTTCAATGGTTACTGACAAAAGGTCAAGTTCTGTTTCCTCTGGAAACTGATTGTAAAAAAGAAAAAACATGAATCAGATTTATATTTCAATTAAAAAAAGAAAATATATATAAATTTAAACATTTAAAAATTATCTCAGAGTTGAATTTCCTCACTCTAAACTGAAAGAAAGGTCAGATTCATGAACATATGAAATGGTACACCAAGGAAGGAAGCAAAAGGGCCAACCTCAGAAAGTTATACTACACTAAAAATCAGAATGAAACTTTACTTTATATAAACATATATTACTATATTAATAAGTAAACACTAATTCTTTAAAGCAGAAGTTAAACGTGGAAGCAAAAGAAACATGATTAATTGTAAATCAGAATGGCAAGAGCAATTAGTGATGGAAGAGCATGCTGTGTCAGTACAAAGTTTATTGTTTTCTCATCATGATATTAGATGCTTTTTGTGGATGTATCTTTTAAAAATGAGCCCCACATTAGTTAAACAAAAATGTGCAAATAGCTGAGTAATAAAACATGTATCAAACTGAAGAATGCTGTATTTTGGGGTAAATACATTTGGTTCTCTGTAAACCCCAACAGATTCAATCAAGTACAGACAGAAAATATTGGGGGGAAATAATAGTACAACAATAAAAAACAATAAACAAAAGTTATAACAACTATTTATAATATCATTTAAAGTGTACTACACATTGTAAGTAATCTAGAGATGATTTAATGTATATGGGAGGATGTGCGTAGGTTATGTGCAAATACTGCACCATTTTATAAAAGGGACTCAAATATTTGTGGATCTTGGTATGCATGGGGGTCCTAAAACCAATCCCCCACAGATATTGAGGGCTGACTATACTTTGTATAAACACTATGTCACTAACTCAGGATTTCACTAGGAGGCCACTACATATAAATAGGTCAAACAAAACAAAAGAAAAACAAAACACCTTCCCATGACCTAATTTTGATGCCTACCTTCACAGAGTCACAGAGTTACTTGAACAATACGCTTTTATGAAGTTTAATGTGCAAGGTAATTTATTATTAAAAACTACTGGATGCTGCTATTCAATACACAGTTAAGTCCTACATTGAAAATTTGAAATCTAGGTGTTCATTTTATATAGTATACGTGTTACTGAGTTAACAAATAAATCAGATTGTTAGAACATCCACTTTTTAAAACTTTGGTAAGAGACGGTAGATGAAATATATCTTTGTTTCATTTTATATTTAATCATGCCTTATCTATTTTCTAATTTATGATTAGAAAATATATTTAGTCTCATATCTATTATATAATTTATGATTTTTATATACTTTTATACAGTACATGGCTAATTAAAAATGAGACTTGAATCACTTCAAATATTAATTCCTTTGAGAATCACCTAGCTAGTAGAACCCATTTCATTCATGTAAATGATTTCTTTCCAAGTTTTTTTCATAAAAAAAGAACATGTTTGTCAAGCTCACTATATTACAATTAAATAGTTCTTTAAAAAAATCCAGTTTGACTAAATTCACTATAACTATGAGATGTATGTTGAGACTCAAGCTTGAAGAGAGTGACCAAAGGGAAAATAAATCTTTGGATGAGCGCTTATTTTTAAATGTATCTTAACAAAATGATCTAGATATCATTCTTCTACATTGTTTTGAACAAAAGAATAATTTAAAAAATGGATAGTTTTATCAATATTATTTTACAGTAGTGACTCCAAAGAAAGAATGTTCAATTATTGTTTGTTCTGAATTAAATTTAATTCTAGTTTGAACTAGTTAACTGATCTTTGTTTATGAAAAAATTTATTTTGTTGAATATAAGGAAAAACTACACTTATTAGGAAATAACAAATTGTAGTTTTTAATTTATAATTTGGTTGAATTGATTTGATTAGCTGAGACAGTCTTTTAGTTTTTAATATTAAACTACACAGAAGTAAAAACTAAGATAAATCCATGTAAGAAGTTATGAGATGTACATGATGAAAAAAATTCAAACAGTCTTAAACCATTATCTAAAATATTTTAAGGTCTAAGTTTAGTCTGAAATGAAAGGAAGATATTTTGAAAGCAGGCAGATATTCAGTGTGGTTGATTAGTTTTAAAGCAAAATTTATGTTGTTTTTAGTAAATACCTGAAAATACCCTTCCCCAGGACCGCTGGATTGTGGTGTACTTCCCCATACTGTATTTTTCAACTTAATTAAAACAATAAGAAAAGTAAAAGAAAAAACAAAAACTCATGAAAAATAATAAACAATGACTTAAAAGTAAATATACAAAAAACAAAAGAAACATTTTAATATGACGTTTACTATGGTATGAAATTAGAATACAACTTTGAAGCTGATCTTCCTTCTAATTTCTGCTACTATCTATAAATAAAATACATAAATGAGTACCAATATTCTACATTTACATTTGTGTAAGATGTAGTTTAATATGGATTCTCACTTGAAAGAAAAATTATTCAACAAAATCCTTTCTACTTAAGAGAAAGTAGTTATGGAGCCTTTACTGTGCATGTAAAATATAAAACACGAACACCTGCTTCATGGCTCTCAGATGATGTTATGAGGGCAGTGCCCACTACTTGGTAATATACAGACAGTTCAATCATCGTAATCCATACTTTGATTGTAGTCAGAAATTAATATTTTGAAATAGTATAATACCATAATTTTGTAATCTGTAAAAACTATTTAACAATGTTTATCTCCAACAAATTATATATCTCTTACTGTATCCTGGATATTAAAAGTTACTCTAGGTCCAGGAGATGCTGCATCCACACGGATTTCTGGGAGCTCTTCAGTTTCTCCTACTCGAGAACTGCAAGTAAAATATAAAGTTATAAAACACTAATATTCTCATGATAAAGTCTGATTAATGGCAATACCATTCTGTTTCTAAATATTTACCTTATCAAAGGATTGAACTTTCTCTTAACCTTTAGCATACCATAAAAAGGACTCAATGTTTTGGTTAACTCAAGATTTTTCTAAAACTAAATCATATAAAAAGAATTTATACTTCTTATAGTGCTTATATACTATTAAAACTGTATTTCACTTCAATAAATGTGAAATTTCCATTTTTTTCATATGCTAAATGTCTGTGTGACAATATCTTTTCTAAACTGACAAATTTAGAGCAGTAGCTACTAGTAAGCATGTTTTAATTCCTTTAGATAATCTGTAAGTTTACGCATAAAACTTGTCTATCTTTCTAAACCACAGTTTTATGTAAATAAAAAACTTGTCTAAATAGCAATGTGCTTCATTTCTAAAAAGCACACACTGTACTGTGGTTATATGATGACGGGTTCCTTAAATAAACTTCTGAGTTTGATAATATCCACTATTATTGCTATTTTACAAATAAAATTAATTTGTTATCTTAATTTTATGATTAGAACATAAAAAAGTAGTTGACCTTGGTAAAAGAGTCAACAATTTTATTAATTGTCTCATGGGCTGAAATATGTATATTACCTTGTCCTTTCCATTCGCTTTAGAGGTGGTCTTCCAGAAGCAGAAATGCTTTTTGATCGGCTGTAACTTGGTTTGTAACTCAAACCCCACTTATCCTTTAGGGAAGCAGCCTAATGAAATGGGAGAGAAAAAATGTGACTACAGGTGATTATTTATTGTTGTAATATTTGACTTCAAATAAAAGAAAATATTATACTATTAAATAAGTTAGCTTGTTTTCCCCAAGGGACTTTCTTGTCACTTAACAATATAAATTCATATTAGAGGAGGAATCAGCTATTCTTTGGTCCTAACACCAACTAGGAGGCACAATGAAAACATGAGCCACCACCTGACCTGAGAGAAAAGAAGAAAAGAGAAAATTAGGGGGCAGGGATGAGGGTACAGAAACAAGGCAAGAAGAAAGGAAATGATTTAAAAAGTAAGAACGGAGAAAGAAAATGAGAATTAAAGGTTTTGAGAGAAAGCTAGGTTCCTGGCAGGGGGACAAAAGACCACTTTTTTCCAAGGGCATCCCTGTTGAAGAACTCTTCATTACAACAAAGGAAAGTAAGAGTGTTAAAGACTTAACACTCTCACTGTCTCTAAATCCCTGTTCTAGAAACTAGTGATGGTACTAGATATTTAAAAGATTCTAATACAGTGGAGGTTTGGAGTCTAAGATGGGTAAAGGGAATTGAGGGGAATATGTGGAATGACATATGTATGTTAAGAATGGAGATGTTTTAACAGCCTTTCTAATTCTCTCTATCTAGTTTATTTTTAATGTCAAAGACCAAATATGACATGCAACAGTGGACAAACAATATTTTAATTATATTTCATGACTCTTGTGTAGACAGCAAAAATTTAATATAGAAAATTATATGTTACAGATATCACTATCCATTATTACTATCAGAAACTAGTGACAAATAAATTGGAGAGCAGTATTCAAACTATATTCTCCAGGAGTTTAGAAGTGATCAAGGCATGTGGTCCCAGCTACTTGGGAGACTGAGGCAGGAGGACTGCTTGAGCCTAGGAATTTGAGGTTTCAGTGAGTTATGAATGTACCACTGCACTACAGCCTGGGCAACAGAGTGAAACCCTATCTCTTAAAAACAAAACAAGTGAGTGTCAAACTATGTGAGGCCAAAATTAAGAGAAATGCAAGGAGAAACAGATGAATTACAGTTTGAGACTTCAATAACCCTTTATCAGAAACGGACATCCAGTACACAAAAAAAATCAATAAGGACACAGTTGAACTCAACAACACCATCAGTCAATTGGATATAATCAACACCTACAGACAGCTTCACCTAATATCAGAATACACATTCTTCTCAAGCTCACGTGGAACTTTCATGAAGAGATCACATTCTGAACCAAAAAGCATACCTTAACACATTTTAAAAAATTATAAATCATAAAATGTGTGCTCTTAGACCATAGTGGAATTTAACCAGAAATCAACAACAGAAAGATATCTGAAAAATCCCAAATGCACTGAGATTAAATAACACCCTTCTAAGTAGCATGAGTTGAAGAAAAAAATCTGAAGAGAAATTTTTAAATATTTACACTAAACGAAAATGAAAACACACTTATCAAAATTAGTGGGATGAAGCAAAAGCAGTGCTTAGAGGACAATTTATAGCACTGAATGCATACATCAGAAAAGATCTAAAATCAATTAAGCTTCTACCTTAGAAAACTAGAAAAAATGACAAATTAAATCTGAATTAAGCAAAAGAACATAATAAAAATCAGAGCAGAAACAAAAAAAACCCAGGAAATCAATAGAGAAAAATCAACAAAACTAAAAGCTGGCTGTTTGAAAAGATCAATAAAATTGGTAAGCCTCTAGCCGGGATAACTAAGAAAAAAAGAAAGACACAAATTACTAATATTAGCAATAAAGGAGGGTATATAACCATAGACCCTATGGCTATTTCAAGAATACAGGAATACATTGAACAAATCTATGCCCTCAGATTTGATCACCTAGACGAAATGAACATACAGTTTTCCAAAATGGAGAAAGGAAAAAGATAATCTGAATAGGCCTACATTTATTAAAGGACTGCATTAATAACTTTACAAAACAAAAACACCATGCCCAAGTGGGTATACTTGTGAATAGGTAACTCTTAAAAGCTTATCATTAATTTAAAAAATGAAGGAAAAAAAGGGGATAATGGTTTTTTTTAAAAAGTTTTCTACCCCTAGACTCAAACTCTAATGGGACCAACTAAACCTGCAAAAAATAAAGATTATAAAGTGCTAACAATACACAGTGGCTGAGAGGTAAATTCTGACCAGGAAGAAGGGGATAGGGAAAGAACAGACGTCTTAAAAGATTTCACAAAGTTCACATTTTTTGCAGAGTTCAGATTAGAGACTTAAAGCAAAAATAATTTTGTGAAAGACAAAACACAATGTGCAAGGGCATAGACTATTATAGAGTCCTAAAGCCTAGGCTGGACTCTTGGCTCCCCGGCATTTCTGGCTGTATAACTTTGGTCAAATTACTTCACCTGTCTCAGTTTCCTCATCTTTAAAATAGGAAAATAACATAAACTACCTCCTAAGGTTGTGTGAGGCTTTAATGGGTTACTAAATGTAAAGTGCTTTAGATGGTGCCTGGTACACAGGAGATATGATAGGAAAAAATCAGGTGGTTTTGTCACCAGCATTGAAAGAACAAAGAGCACTCACTCGCATACTGGATCTCCGTAATTTTTTACGAACATCTCTTCTAATGTCATTCACAGCCACAGATTCTAACTGTTGGTAACGTTGAATTTCTTGGTTTATGGTTCCTTCACTTGCACCTAATTTTCTGGATGCAAAACAAATACAGCAGTTATTGTAAAGAAATAACAAAGTTACATAAGCAGAATATGTATTCAAAAAATAAGTTACACTGATTTTTACTTGCTCCTTTTTCATGCTTTTACTTTGCAGAATACCAAAGATGATTATGTATGGACCAGCCAAAACCCTCAATAAGTTTAACAATAATATTTGGTGAATTTTAAGGAAACAAAAACACCTCTCTCTAATGTTTGAGGAAATGTGTGTTATCCATTGCTGCATCAAGAGTCACCATGGGCCCACTCTGCAGAAAAATGTCTGAATGTAAAATTCTACATATAATATAATCCTTGGGTAACATTTTGAAGGAAGAGTATATTTTGCTTCAGGTCATTTTTTCCCCTGAGAACAAAACTCAAATTGTTATCTAAGTCAACAGGAAAATATGAATCACTGCATGATAACTGACAGACAAGTGTTAGGCAATACCTTCTGCTGTACAAAATGCATATATTTGTGTAAGGTCCTTGATGGTTAAAAAAAAAAAGCATCAGTACAAGTGTAGGCACATTAGAAAAGATGAGGCATGACCATTACCTTTTGGGAAAATAAAATTGCAAACTTTAGCAATAAGAATATTTACTGTAATAGAGAAAGTATTTTTAGCAATATCCAGCAGGCAACAGATAAAGATTAGTGCATTTATTTATATATGCATGTGAAGATACATAAAAGAGTAAATACACAGGTAAAGATAACATATATGTGATATAAAGTCAGCCATAAAGTGCTAAGAAATAAGTTATGAAAAAGCACTAGGATTTCATGTCTAACTTCTTTTTTTTTTTTGAGACAGAATCTCATTTGTCACCCAGGCTACAGTGCAATGGCACAATCTTGGCTCACTGCAACCTCCTCCTACCCCCAGGCTCAAGCAATTCTCCTGCCTCAGCCTCCCGAGTGGCTGAGCTCACAGGCACACACCACCACACCCAGCTAATTTTTGTATTTTTAGTAGAGACAGGTTTCACCATGTTGCCCAGGCTGGTCCTGAACTCCTGACCTCAGGTGATCCACCTGCCTCAGCCTCCCAAAGTGCTCGGATTACACATGTGAGCCACAGTGCCCAGCCTCATGCCTAACTTTATGACTAATGAGTGTATGATCTTGGCCAAATTATTAAACAACTCTGGACCCTGGTGATATAACAGATAAAGAGTTTGTATTAGCCCAAATACAGTTTCTTCCACTTCTGTCATCTTATGATTCTAAAATTAGGGAACATTATATTAAATTAAAAATCATTATACATACTTCAGATCATCTATTACTTTGGCCTGTTCATTCAGTTCTCTGATATCCACTATACGCTTCATAATTTTTCTTCCCCTAAGTTCGCCTGGCTGGCTAGCAGATGCTGCCTGTCTTCGATAATCTACGGCTTCCTGAAAAGTCAAAAGTGTATATGTCAATACCACCCTCAAGACACATAGCAAATCTATACTATCACAAAATTAACACCTTAAATCAAAGTAAGCATGCAAGAATCAAAGCCATCTATATCAAGACTGGGATTCTCCACTGATTTAAATCCCCTCATTTTCATAAGGAATCTATTTAGTTGCTACCTACGTTTCCCCATGAGTGTGCTCTGCATGCTTTCAAATGGGACTGGCTAGACTGAGGGGAGCCCCACATCTCTGGGTCACACAGATACTCTGCAGGAACAGAATAGCGCTGATTTGGGGGTGTCAGGCCTAGTAGGTGATTTACAAGTCGCTGCCCAAAGGTAAGTTTGTGGCCATCTCCGCTTACTGAACTTCCATCTGAACTCTAAATAATAAACAGTAATATTAATTTTTTAAAAATTTCTTCCCAAGAACAAAACTATTTCATGGTACAATAGTTAAAAGATATTTAAAATAATTTTAAAAAATTAATAGTAGAATGAATCAAAGAATAAGTTTCTTTTTGACCACTAAATATCTTGAAAATATAGAATGTATAGTATAGATGGAAATATATATTTTTAAAATGTGTAACTTCATTTTGTAAATGCACTTTGCTTTGAAATTCATTTTGAACATCTTTACTGAGACATAACTCACATACCATAAAATTCACCCATTTAATATTTTCACAAAGTTGTACAACCATCATTAAA